TCTTGGCGACACAGTGCAAACTCTCTCAGACTCTCCTCCAACAACAGATGCTCCCATCTATTCATCATATTTGAGGCCCCTCACTGGACTCACTGCAAGTTAGTGTCTTGGATTGTAGATTTTATGCTGTAACTTATCATTTAATGTAAAGGAGTATACTATTACACAGGTCTCATTTTTATTGATGGCAGCTTTACTCTTATTTGCTCTTAGGACAGGGGAAGTTTCTTTCAATGACTTCAGACAGAGCAAGACCTCTACTAGATTGATTCTGTGTAAAAGGTGATAATGTATTTTTACTGTATTTGTCCCATGACAGCCACAAGAATATTGCAATATAAAATGAATAATCTTTTCTAGTTATCTGTAACCAGTTTACAATTAATGTAATTCTTCAGCTTTGCATTTTAAAATAAATAACAACTCTAGAAATTCTACACAAAGTATTATTTTCCCACTTCTACTAAATGCAAATCTAAATCTCTTTGAAAATCCAGAGAAGTACATTTGGCAAAAGCAAAGATTCTGTGTTTTACATCACATACCATTTTGCCGTTGCTACAATTTTAATTGTGCAAAACTCAATGGCTCTAATAAAATCTGGCTAGGTAATTAATACTCTAAAACATACACTGTGAGATACTGAAAGAAACACTCTACATGTGAATTCCCTCATGTCATGGAAAAGACTCATGTAGCATGTATTTCTCCATAGGTACAACATCAGCTTTTTTTCATCTTGTCTGCAATTAACAAAAAAATCTTAACACATTCCATTGTTAAGAAGTTTTGTTTTCTACTAGTTTCAGTTCAAATACACTCACAACATCACATATTGTGTATGAGGAAAATCAGTGAAAGTAAAATAGAAAAGATATAAGAAATATTAATGTCAGAAATAAAGAACAACTTTAAACTTTTATGATATTGGTATGCTCCAAAATGGCTGTGATGACTTCACAGAATTATGTATGTAAATACAATATTTTAATTACCATTATGCAATTCAGACATATATATGTATGCTCAGATACACATACATATACATTTTGAGATACGCTCCACATTGTGATCCACATTTCCCAGAGATGTGCACATGAAGGGGATTCTCCCACTGTGCCCATTACACACCTAATTTGGTGAACTGTTCAAAACAGGGAGAGGGACAGAGGCTTGTGGAAATTAAGCTTTATTTAAAATAAATCAACAGACAAAGGTATTAATATTCAGAGCTCCACACAATGATTTTACAGGGAAGGGCCCAGAAAGTAGGCCACTAAGGACAGTGTGGTGTGCATTTAGAAATGGAAAACTCTTTTCCACAGTAGTGGAACACAGGCTGATCTCTCTGAACTTGTTCCCCTGGACATTTTGCAGAACGATTTAAGAAGTAATTTGACATGATTTGTATTTTTCCTAGAAACCTATAATTTATCTTCATAATACGGGACAAAAAACATTTGGAACTTTATGTTATTTTCATAACGTTGTATGCCAAAGAACAGGCAGTACTCCTGGCTTCTTTTTTTCCTTCCTTGACACACTATAAACAGTGATAAGAAAATGAAGGTTAGAAGAATATCTGTGCTTAGGTTTACACTTCTGCTACAGAAAGATATATTTTTCATAAAACAGATTCTTCATAAAATAGATAGATTTTTCATGAAAGATTTTCATGAAAGAATACTCTTTTATGTATGAATGGATACAATCATATCTCTAGTATCTTTTACCCTGAGTTTTAAGAAAACACTTTTTCAGTTTGATGTACTAAGTACTGGGCATATATGCAAGGATCTAAGGTTTGTTTGCAGGAATTCAGATTGAGCCTTCAGTCCTGTGATAATGCATTTGCACATTTCTCTCATGAATGTTGCATTTTGTAGTGGTAGTGGATGTATACTGATGATGAAAATCTCTTTAATAAAGGAATTAATACAAGATTATCGTCAGTAAGGAGAATTTTTTAAAGTCATGAATCCTGACTTTTAACAACAGAAAAAACATTTTGAAAATAACTTCCTTGAAAATAAGATAAAAATTATTGTGCTAAAAATAATCTACTGTACTGTAGTCATTTGTACTCAATGAGAGCTTAGTGTGTTTACCAAAGTTTACAGAAATCACTATTGAAAATCAGTCATCTCTGTATGACACATGACAACTCTAATAGAAAACAAAGTCATAAAAGTCCATTTATACAAAAGGCTGGTGAGCAGAGTACAGTCCACTAGTACAAAAGGAAAAGCAATCAGACTCAAAATTTTGTCTCGAGCTTCTTCTATTGCTATCCAATAGTAGTGATTGAAAATGTAATGATTCTGCAGGAATAATGAGCTGCAGGTTGAAGAATATTAGATTATACTTGCTAAAGAAACATTATCACACCTAGTAGTGCTGCGACATGATGAGGGGTGAGTGAGAAAAAAAGGCCACGACCAGGTAAAAACTGAAGACATTTTAGTGACAGCATGATGTGAGACACTTCTTTCCCAAAAACTTCACACCATATTAAAAAAAAAAAGACAAACTGAATTGTGCAGGTTCTCAGTAATGCTCTCATAGCTGGAGTTTGGAGTCCTCAAGTCTCAGAAAGCTTAGCAAAAAGATGGTGGGGCATTTTATGCAGAACAATTCCACATATCAATGTGTTTTCAAGTGTTCTTCTCATAAGGTGATCACCCACTGTATGATACAGAGGCTGTGCTATTCATTTATGTTCCATCTCAAGGTATATATTCTAAGGCAGTACTTAAAGGTAGCACTTCCTCCTTCTGCAAGTTCATGTATGCAAGCCGAAAATAAATTTCACTTTTTTAAAAAGACAAATCTCCAGCTCCAAGAAAAGGAATGAATTTCCATCTCTATGATTTGGTAGTCAGTGACAAAGTCAACACTGATTTGAATTAACGAGGCAAACAGTTTTCCAGAAGATACTGAAGAATATTGTAGTTATGTTCATGTTACAAACATATTTCATAATGTTCTTGGGTCAGCAATTACAACTATAAAACTGATTGTTTTAGTATTTCCTGAACAAACACTTTAGTGAAGTAGTCTAATAATCTACTATGCAAAGGCAAGTTGCATGCAGACTCATTTCATACTTGGCTATGAAAAACTAATTGATCAATGCTCTTGATGTATGTGCAGCAGGGTGGGAGAAAACAACTTACAAAAATCTTCTCAGGAAAGCACAAGGCTAAGCAGGGGAGCAAAAGTAGTCAAAATACACTGCCAATGCTGTTTATAAGCCATTATTACACATAACTTAAGTTGCCTTTAGTTTGCCAGTAGTGGTATAATTCAACAGCACAGAACAAATGCTAACTAATCCTATCAACATACCCCACAAACAAGAACACCAATGGCAAGTGGAATGAGAAGAAAACAAAACAAAAAAGAAATTAGAAATATACTCTGAAACATATTATCATATTATATAACAGACAATTTTGACTAATGGGTTATTTATATTATTCTGTGGGTAACTGATAAATGAAGTTTTACATGAAGAAGCCATTCACCTTTTCAAAAACAACAAAAAATGAAAAAACAAAACAGACGAAACAAAAAAATCTTTTTTAAAAGCAAAGCAAAACAAACAACAACAAAATCACAACAAAAAAATCCAAGCAACAGAAGAAAAGGCAAAATCACTCATTTAAGAGAACCTGAAATATGCTTTAATATGGTAGTAAGTTAAAAGCTAAAGGACATATATCTATACACACAAAAAGATGCTATCACTGCTGTTAGGACAGCAGAATATTTTCACAGCTATTTTTCTTCATGCTTGGAAGCATACATTACTCATAACACAGTTACATCCTGAAATTTTATAACATTTTGAATTTCTTTCAGATGAGACGTCCATTTTATTGTTTTTTAATTAAATGTATTTCCCTGAAAGGTCTTTGAAGGGTCTACAAACTACCTTGCATTTTATTATTGCTGACAGTTATCTAAACCACGCTTGAATGCCCTCTTTATCCTTTAGTGAACAATTGAAAGATCATATGCTAAAAAGACTTGTGCTTTCTCTTCTTCTAGCCCTATAATTAAGGCATTTTAATACATTTCTTCATAGTCATTAAGAGAGCACAATGTTAAAAATTAATGCAATGAGACAATTTTAACAACCATAAATACATACAACCTAAATTTGTCTCAATTGTAGAGATGAGAAAAGTCTTATTGAAATCACATGATGAGACTACTGAATTGTCAAGATTTTGCTTTTGCTGTCTAAGGGTATTTAAGTGATGTATGGCAACCTGACAATACTATAGTGTTGTTACATACCCTACAAGAGAGGTAAACATTTCCGTCAAACAATCAGATTCCACTGTTTATGTTTTTGTTTACCATATATATATGCCTATAAAAAAGTAGTATTGCTGGATGGCGCTGAAATAGATGAAAAAAGGGAAGAAAAGAAGTAAGATAGAGATATGAAAGGAAAAATAATCACAACATGATTGCAAAAATCTTGATATATAATGTAAAATACCACTGTAATAGCATCCATTTACAGTAGTACTTATGCTTAGAATAAAGATTTTCTTAGGATTTTTTTCTAAGAAACAGAATTTTGTTATGTTCACGTGTCACACATTTTTGCAACAGACATGTTAAGTATTGTTTTAACATTGTGAAAGGAATTTATTCTTTCTAAGTACATCAATTTTATATACACCAATTAAATATAGGATGTATTGGTGTTATAGCTTACCATTACAGAGATTTTCCAAAAGGTATTACTAATGAGCAAATCATACACTCATCTTTTAAAACTAAGTCAGGTTTTTTGAGGTAGAAGTTTTTTATGCTTTCTTAACTGCATATTTAAAATCACAGTGCAGCATAAAGCAAGAAGATTACAGGATTATTTTTTTTAAGATCAACATGAAAAAAAAAGTTGCTCTCCAGAAGATTTTCCAGAGTTGTCAGAATGTTATATTATAAACAACCTTATTAGTCCTTTATAATTACAATAGGTACCTCTGGACAAGATCGAGCACACATGACAAATGCTTCTGACTTCTTTTTAAATCGAACCTGGAAGGTCATCGCTGAACAAACAGAATGCTCTACAACTGTGCCCATAAATTGTGAAAGCTAACAATAAGGTAAGGTTTTTTGATATTAAAAATTAAAATTATTTTGTTCAGAATTCTCTATATAAAATCAAGAACTAAGAGGATTAAGTAGTTTAAAAAAGATAAGCTACTAAAGAAACTTTATTACCACAATTTTTCTTTCTGCGGCTGAATATATTTTAATATTTATGCCATATCTTTAAAGTAATTGCTTTGTTTTATAAGTATTCTTAAAGATAATTTCTTAATGAGAGTTTATCCATATTTGCATTTATTTTGCTTGGCTTTATGATGTGGACAGTTAAAAAAAGAAACAACCTTAAATCTAAGGGACTTGCTAGTTGTTATCCTCAAGTGAAATCAGGAAAAGTACAACATATTACTGTGCATTTCTCCGACCATTTTTATTTTGCTTTAGGGTCATTTAACAGTACTGGTAGTTTTGGATTAAATTTAATTTGTATGGAGTTAAACAGTAACTTAAGTGACTGCAACTGGAAACCAACTGATGGATCTCACTTTTAAATCTCGGATTTCAATTTGGAGAGGAAATGTACGGATTGAATTAAAAAGCTGTAAACTCTTGATGAGAATTAGTGGTATAAAACAAAAGAAATTGAAACCTTCAGTTATTTTCCTTACAGTTAGGCTGAATTACATTGTAAATCAACAAAGATTTGGATAGTGTCCAAGTAAACAGCTTTAACTTAAGAAAAGTTCTAATAGAGCACTCAGCATACAGTTTGAAACAAATACAAAACAAATATGAAATATTAATGACTTTAAAAAGAAACATATGAGAAGAATGACAGTAAAATCAGGAAAATTCAAGCAGAGGAAATTTAAAGTGAAATGTATGATGGGCAATTAAGTACCTATTTTGACAATTCTAAGTGGTCAACTTTTTAAAGTATGACACAGAAACCTTAACCTATCTATATATGAGTGATAAATGAGGCATTTTGTGTCATTACATTCCCATAAATCACATTTTTAAACTGCTGATGGCTTTTATCAGGTCTAACCTTTTCAAGCTTCTATCAGACTGCTAACATTTTCAACTTTGACACATACGCAGTTTACAAATTCTGCAGCTGATTAACTCTGGACAGAAGCTCACTGCCACTGTTGTCTTCTTCAAGCTGGGTTACAGTTTCAGTGCCTCAAAAACCCATATGCACCCTTTGCATGTCACAAAATCTCACTTAAGGTATTGAGCTGTGTTGTGAAGGATATATTTCTTCTTTTGAAACAAATAAACGAGACTGTACTTTCAAAATTACTCTTCTACTCAGAGCCTGAAATATGCATCCTATTAATCATTTTAAAATCAAATAACTAGTGCATTCCAGATAAAGAGAAATATTTAGAAGTCAGACATTGGTAAAATAAAATGATCTATTTTATATTATTTTATTATTTAAATGAACTTGGGTTCAAATCAATGCTCTTGAATAAATGAAAAACATTGTGATCAACATCTATGAGGTAGGAATAATAATAAAAAATTGATAAACTAATATTAGTGTGTACTATATGTACTCTATTACAAAGTATTGCACTTGTAAGCTGATCATGACCATGGTTCCTTAAATCATTTTGTGGAATTCCTCACTAAACTCTTACTTGAACTATCTTGTAAATTTTAAAGACTATAAATTGAAGTATCTTAAAACTGCAAATATCAAAGATTCAATTTCAGTACTATACCACAAAATGAGTGTAGCCATGATACACTCAGGACAAAACAAATGCAAAAGTAAAAAAGAAATGCAGGACATAATGTTTTATCGTGCACCAGTGAACCCAAACACTTTAAGGAAAGCCTGCTTTCTTTAGGAACTAAAATTAAATTATGTATTTACATGACATACACAATCTTTTTCTACATAAGTTATAAAATAGTTGATAAAATCAGTCTAGATGTCTACTTTCAAAAACATTTCAACTTAACTATATTATATTAACAATGAGAAGAAGCCAGGAATATAGCAGTGCTTTCTATCTCAGTAGTATCAGGACATAGTAAGAATGGTAGTAAAATAAACATCTGCATTTTCACTTTTTAATTTAAAAATGCTCAGAATATCATTTAATTCAGATGTTTTTAATCTACAGAAACAAGCAGTGAAACATTCAAGGAAATGCACTTGCAAGATGTAATTGATATAGACACTGAAATAAAGCTCAAGTTTAAAGAGATACTGTCTTTAATAATATTAGTTAGATTGAAGAAATTTTCATGTTAGCTATGTGACCACTGGAAGCCTGGTACTTCAGATGGTATTAGTTTTGATACAAGCTAACTAGACATCAGACCTAAATAATGAAACCTGAACAGACAGGCTTGGACCCAGCAAATAAGAATGTCCGCAGAGGCTCTTGTGCAGCTGATTGTACCTTGATGATAAACAACAAACCCTAGACAAACACTGGAGGAAAGAGAATTTTTTTTTCAGCATCACAGCTAACATAGCCTTGTAACTTTAATACGTAAGTCCTATTCATGACAAGTTAAAAAGAAGTTATTTATTTCATTAAAAATGTCACACATCAGATAAACTGTGAAGTTAGACTTTCGACAGTCTAGATGTAAATCTTGGGATGTCTGTAAGTACTCATGACGAAAGCGTATTTATCATTTGAAATAAAAGGACATGATTACTTGATGTTCATATCAAAGTCTTGTGATGGATGAGAGAGCACTAAACAAATGACAAACCAGAAGGAATACAGGTTCCTGCTATTTTGATTAATGAATGGAAATGAAGATCTCTTTTCCTAATTGACATACATACATTATAAAATTACACACATAAATATACTAATAAGTTTGTATAATGCACTATGTATATTCAGGAGATTGGTATATTCTTAACTAGACATACTACAAATACTAACTAAAATAAAGCCAATTTACTTGATGTGAGAAGAAGCCATAAAATCAAACATTAGCTTTAATCAAATGTGCAGTTAATTGGTTACCAATTTATACCTCAGAAACAATTTTAGCTTTTTTTTGTATTAAAACTCCCCATTAATAAGAGGGAAACATTTTAACTTTTTTTCTAATTTGTTTCTTACTTCCATATTACTAGATTTAAGTTATGCTTAAGTGAAATTATGCTTGTGTCATTTAAAGTTGCATAAAATTAATGTAAGCATCACTGAAAACAAAGATGTGGAGTTTTTATATGAGATGAAATATTAAAAGATTAGTTTTGAGCTTCAGATCTGATTTTTACTGCTAGCTTTCATATTTTTGATACTCCAGTCATCTTATATCATTGCCTAGCTTTATTTTTATCCAAAATGTATCAAACCACTTATGCACCTGCTTAACAAGAACTCTCAAGCATCAACAACTTTACTTAGTAAATATGAGAATTACAGCTGCTGTTAGTAAGACAGGCAAGACTTTGTACAATTTGCAGATCTGCATGCAGTGGCAAGGTCCAGTGAGGCTGAATGGTACTTTCACAAAAGTACTTGTCAAACGATGGTGACAAGCTGCTCCTTGAGATCAATCTCTCCCTTTCTCCTTTTCCATTATAACTGCACAATGAGTGAGTAACTCCTCAGAAAAATACTCTAGTCACTCTAGTTTTGAAAATGAAAACTCACGTTGCTAACTGGAGAACTATTGAGAAACATACTTGTTACCTTTTCTGCTGTAATTGTGAAACTTACAAATGAAATATTTTCACATAAATGAAAAAAAAAAAACAAACCACCTGCAATCCGTACTATTTTTTTTTTTAAAGTAGAAAAATCTTCCACATACAATTTTCAAAAATTCACAGGAAGCAACATTTTATAATCTACAGAAAAGTATGCAACCAAATATAAATCAAACTGCAACACCAACAGGGAAATGTGATATTAAAAATTAAAATATTTTGCATGCTTTTTTTTTTTTGTTAAATTGTTAAAGTGATTTTTACCTAAATCTTCGAGTGGAAATGCATTTGAAGTCAAGAACGATATAAATGTCTGTTTGAACTGTAGTGTTTAAAAAAAATACATTGGCACCAATAATTGTTTTGCTCTGCTGCTCAGAAACCCTTGTAAGACACATCTGATGATGTATTTAATGCAACTTATCTATATACCCTGTGTGCCTCTTATAATGCAAGATTACTCCCTTGGGAAAGCAGATACCTGAATCTACATTATAATCTCCCACCATAAACAGGATATGAGCAGTTTCATTATGTACTTCTCAGATGCATCTTTAACCAGAAGAAACTACTTTCACAGAAGCTGAAAGGTAACCTGGGACTCCACAGTACAACTGTATTTCTCTTCCTCTAAGCCAACATTTCCTAGAAATAAGGAATTCGTGTGTAAAAGTGACTGCTGCCCATTAACCAGTCGGGGACTATTGAACCTACTCATTTTATACCTCTTAGATTTCTCTTAGATTGTGTACTACTCTCACCAGTCTCCTGTTTTTACATGGTTTATTTACTGTGAATCCGACACTTAATTGGCTATTGACAATGTTTACTTTTTTCCTATATTAGTACAAATGGTTTTATATCAAGATATAGTAGTTTATCATTCAACATAATAAAATGTGCTTAAGACATAACTAAATTCCTCCACCTCTTGAACCTTTTCTGAAAAATTTACTGGATACCCAATATATTTAATATTCAATAGCATGTGAGAATAATTTTTATGCAACTCTGATAGTTAGAAAGATAGATAACTCAATTATTAGATCATCTATCAAAATATTCAGATGTATAAGAGGCTACTAAAAAGATTGATGACTGAGAAAGTCCACTGATTCTCTAGCCATCATATTCACACATTTGGCTAGACAACATTTTTCGCTGCCTTCACAAGCAAGCTTCATTACTCATCACTTCACTGAAAAGAGTTTATTATGAGGCTGCCATCTTGGCAAGACTATTATTTAGATGATAAATGTTGGGGGGAAAATTGTGTCTAGAATTTTTTTTTAAGATGAGCTTTTTGACAGATAAAACAAACAGCATCTACATTTCTAATTAACTTAAATT